AAAAAAAAAAAAAAAAAAAAAAAAAAACACATCTTAGTAAAACCAATACCTTCTCAGCTTCGCATCGAAGCTAAAAATTGTCAATTTTATATACTTCGTTCAAAAATTAATAAAAACCCAACCGATCTGTGTTACTTAAGATCACCTATCTGTGCCTATCTTTCTGTTCAGCTATCGTTATTCCTATGACCCTACCAACCAACGATTTACACGCTGTTTAGGAGAGTACAAAATTCATCTAACACCACGAAACTATGACAATCTGTTGTCCCATCGCCTGTAAGTAATCACCTCGACAATGAACCGTCCTCATCTTACGTACGTTGACAATCTAATACCGAGAAGACTAAGCAATTGTACTAAAAAATCATCATCGAACAACGCCATTTCGCAATCGTTGTTTTTGTTATTATTATTTTTTTTTAATAAATAACCAGCACCCCTACAAACAAAAGTATCAATGTGTCACCTACATTATTTCTCAGGAATCGGTATAATAACAATTATACTTTTAAAAAAACGAATATTTTAACAAAAGTTGATTATGCAATAAATTATTGCTTACGCCATAATTGCAAAATTTGATTTTTGTATAAAATTTCGCTTATATCAAATAAGCGTAATAATTATGGTATAATTACAATTTATTAGAAAGTAATATACATTCTAATTATAACAATATTTACTCTATAAAAATATATAACATATGCATTAACAATAATTTATAATTACCTATAAAATGCTTTATTTCTAGGTATTCAATTGATTTATTGTGAATATAAACTTCAATTACTCGGAATCCAGCTGTTTCGAAATATGACTTCATTTCTTCTTTAGGTATAAATAAAACTGGTTCAGGCATGATTTTCTAGAAATATATGAACAAAAAACATTCTATATAAATAAAATGATCAGTATAAAATTAATCAGACTTTTGGTATCACAATAATAAACCACGTATCTTCTAAAATATATAAACAGAAATTTATAAAAAAAATTTCACTAGATTTAGTTTTACTTAAAAAACTTGCCTTGACATATTCATCAAAATCAGGACCCAATATTTTATACATTTGAAAAAATGGATTATTAGTTAAAAAAGTCATTAAGATTTCTCCACCAAATTTTAACATTAAATATATGTTTTTTAGGGCTATTGGTTTATCAGACACCCAATGAAAGCACATGAATGAAAATATCTTGTTGAAATGGTTTGAATAAAACGAAGAACTAATAGAATCTTCTATATTCATTGTTTTGAACTCTATTTTAGTTATTTCATTACTATGTTTGGCAAATTTTATCATTTCTTCATTTCTATCGACAGCAATCTAAACAAAAACATACATTATTAGTTATTTTATGGTACTATAGATAATTAAAAACTCAAAAGCTTATTTATAACTCAATTTTCATTTATAAAATGAGGAAAATAATTTTAAATTTAGTTAAGAGAAGCCTGACATAAAATATCAAAAAGCTCTATTTCAAAACAAATATATTTTATTTTGCAATCTGTAAAAATTGTTTCAACAGTATTCAATTAATCTATATTCTCCACGGGTATACATTACATCTCTTGATACTAAACACCATGTACAAGGAAAACTAATTGCATTTAACAATATTTCTGTCAAAATTTTAGTAAGTTTTACTTTCAAGATCTTTAAGTTTAAGAGTGACTATTAAACGGAAACAGTCTCGTAGTTTTTTTAGCCTGTGCCACAATACCAAGTATTAATAATTTTTTAACTGTTTAGCATAAATACCCTCAGTATATATTTGTCAATCTTTATATCATCACCATGGGCTGAATTAGATATTATAATTAGTCGCTCAGTCTAATCTATATTTTATTTATACCTTTTTTTAGTTATATGCTTAGAAATTTTTCATGAGTAGGAGACCTTGGCGTAGTTAGAGATTGCATTCGATGATCAAGCCTTCCCATAAAAAAAATTGGCCTTCCCAAAAATATAGAAAACTTATACAATGTAAGATAAAATTGTTTTTTTGGGGGGAATTATTAATATAGTCCTCCACATTTATTCTTCTAACTTCGACTAAGTGACAGGGTTATATAAAAATTTGACCTCATTTTATTGAAATAAAAATGTACTTCTGACATTTCATTATTTTGACTATGAATATTTATGCACTATGGTATCCCGTCTAGGTTGGCCCCTTGTATTTAATAAAAAATACAATGATTAGAGATATTCTAATAAAATTAAAAAAATATAAGTTCCAAAAATAGAACTTCTATTACATATTATTGTAAAATTTGTGATAAAGTTGTAGGTGTAAAGTTTTTTTTTGTAACGTCCTATATTTTTTCCTCTCTATTTATTCCCTTTAATTTACAGACGAATTTTTTTACCTCGTATAAATATAACTAAATATGAAAATTATTTAAAAAATAAATTAACGTAAAATAATAATTGAATAAAAATTTATTCATTTTGTCATAACTTTGTGACTCATTTTGTAAATTCTGATTAAGAATATTTTTCCATTTCTTTCAATAATGTTCAGTAAAAGAAATTTTTATACTATTTTTTTTTGTGACTCACCAATTTTTCGATTTGATCTTGTATTTCACTATAAAGCCTTTTTTTAGTTACATCGCCGGGTCCACATCCGACATCTAAAACTATTTCATTTGACTCCCATGACATATTTGGTAGAAATTTTGTTAAAATATTTGAAGCTATTTGATGCTGTAAGATACTTTCATTTACATACATCATAGGAATATTTTCATCGTTCTACGAAAAAATAGACAAATAACAATAAAATGTACAGTAATTTTTAGTAATTAATTCACTATTTTAAGTGATATTTCATTAAAATTGGAACTGATAAATATTTTTAATTTTTTTGGCGAGATAAGTAGTGAATTTCTTATACCTCACTGCTTGGGGTCCATTTTTATATACCTCCAAACATGTTGCACTATTTTTATAAACTAATTAATTATTTTACAAAATATATTAAAATCAAAATGTTTAAATTAAACTTTAAACCGACGAAATTCTATACCATAATGTTCTAAAATAAATCATTGCAGAGCTAAGTGATCTAAGTGCCTAGAATTCAAAAACAATTTTTATTACATCAAATTTACCTTTATTTCCACGAAAATACTATGAAAAAAAATAATCTTAAATAATTTCTTAATTCTTAAATCATGAACATTCTTACGGAGAAGATATAGAAGATAAAACCCCGATGATGAAAATAAATATATGATAAAGATGTAATTTGGATGGGGTATTAAACATTTTTTTTATGTTTATCACCTCCCCTAAAAAAACCCTGAAAATTCCATTGTCTTAAATTAATATTTAATAATAATTTAAAAACTCGCGATTCACTATTTTTGTACAATACAAATTTTTAAGTACAATTATAAGATAAAAGTACTGTTTGATACATATTCTTACACAGTTTTTCCTATATAATAATGTTATGATAAATATAAATGATAATTCCACAGTATTAAATAGTTATATTTTAAGTTTTCTTAAAAAATGAAAAACTTTATCCAGCCACAGACAGTAGTGCACGTAAGATTTTAGTTCGGGTAGAGGTTTCATTGAAAGTTGATGATAAACTCGACAGACCCTCACTATACATCTGAACTTATTTCATGGAGGTGGGATTAAAACGTTAAAAATCTTACACCTACGTATGCTACTGACCACAGATACAAAAATAAACAAAATTATATGATAAGTAATGAAATCACGACTTCGATTTCATTACTTAGTAGATAGTATTACTATATTTTTCACTTCAATTATAGTGCTCAAATAAGCAATGATAATTTTCAAGTATAAAATCTTATATCTATAACCTATACTTGTCACAAAAATTTCCAATTTTAAAAATACCATTGTTTCTATATTCTCCTTGTATACGCTTCAGTATTGAGATAGAATGGGGAAAAGTTATCTATGAAAATTTACTATAAACTTATATGTTCAATGACTAATTTGTGTTAGAACAATTTAATTTTTTTGGAGGCATAAATATTTTTGGGACCTTTGATGAAGATAATTTAAACAACTGTTTAATTTAAGAGAAAATCCCCGGCTTGAATCATGATTTTTAAAAATTAATTTTAGGGAAAGTAAAAGACACTTATAGATACTTTTAGCCATTTATTTTAATTTGATGTTAATAATTAATTAATTATTTGATAAGTAATTATGTTTTACATGATAGTTATTTTAAATATTGCTGAACTTTAAGATATACTTACTTGTGAAGATGACACATCTTCTATGGGCTCTAAAGCTTCTGATGACCAAATATAGAAAAACAAACATAATAAGCTTGTATTCTTTAAAAACATAGTGAAGGAAGTTAAAACCAAAATAATTATCTATGAATAGTAATATATAGAGACATTGATAAATACATTTTGTATCTGTATTTATGTATATTTTGAACATCATAATTTATAATTGTTATTTACACAGAATAATACAAAAATATTATAATTATACATAACTATGTATAACACAATTAATTTTAAAAATAGTTATTTTAATTTTAACTTTTTTCATAGTAAATACAGAATGTTCTTATATTTTTTATAAAACTTAAATTTTCATATCCACGTAAGCAGGAAGATAAGTCTGCATGATTTTAAAATTAAGTCCTCATAATATTTTATTTAATCGTTTTAATGATAGAATATACATTTAAAGTGATTGCTATATTTATATTTATCAAATAATAAATAATTTATTTTTATATTAACAGAGCTTTACTATAGTATTAAAAAAATTAACTAAGAATTAAGTACTGAAATCAACTGTATTATGAATAATATATATGTCTTATTTTGTATTATAGTAATAATTATAAAAAACTTATTGCATTTAAACTTCTTAAAAATATAATTATGATTCATACCAAAATATAATTAATTAATAATTAAAATTCAGAATATTTATTAAACTTTAGTTTTAAGTCAAACATATTTAATATATAACAGTTCTTTTTGAAATTGAAGATTCAGGTTTACATTAAAAAAAAAAATTTTCCTGAAAAACTAGAATTCATAACAATAAAATTATTTACTTTATTGGCCATTTTTTAGAAAAATTACATTTATTAAGTATTTTGTTCTAATATTTTTTTTTTATTTGATCCAATGTATGTGTTTTAAATTTATTTTAAAAATCTGATTTAAAGTAAAAATTTATCATTAATTTAGTTTTCTTAATAGTGAAAGCAATAATATGTTTTAATAGGCCATAAATATTTTTTTATGATACTTAAAATATAATTTTTCCACACAGGTGACATACATTGAATGTAAAAAAAGCATTAGTATTAAAGATTTCCGTATATTGGATAATGCATTAGTCAATAAAAACTAGCTTATATAACAAAATGGAAAACCAAGACTTCTGTTATTCTTAACAACAAAATATCACTAGTAAATTGTTCTCAAATTACTAAACTCTAATATTCTGTAACAGATGAAAGATTTATTGGATTAAAAAAATTATGAGAACAAACTTGTTTGTACATTTTTTTTATCTAATTATTAATTAAAAATAAATTATTTCTATTGTAGAAAATTAAATTAAGGTTTTAAAAAAATATGTTATTTAATCAATTTTAATTATTGAATTTTTTGAATGAAATAATTTTTTTATACTATTTTATAACTTCTAAATCTAAAAATGCAATAATAGTTGAAAAGACATTATTAACTTTAAGTATACTAAACATTTTTAAAAGAGCTAATCTAATCCAAGTCACCCTCTTGCGCCTATAACACTAACAGTGAATAGATTATTAGTCATAGAATATTCCGTTCATTGAGCGAAAGATTAGTTTACATTTAGGGCCACTACAAAATATAGAAGTGTGAAAAGTGTTCCCATACCAGGTCTTGTACTTAGTAAGATCCCGCCAATCAAATTGGAAAGCAAAATAAAAAGTATTTTAGTTATTAAAAAATTATAAGAGTCCTGCTAATGATTTTACATCAAGCTTTGTGATTTCTAACTTTAGCCCTGCTACTACTTGCTATTATTTTATTTATGCGTGTTTCATGTTACAATTTAAAACCTTACATAAAAAAACCCAGCACAGGGGGGTCGCGGCACAGTGGGTGACGTAGCATAGTTGGATCAAGTATAATGATATCTAACAGTGATTAAAATCACTATCAAACAAAAAAACGCTTCGATGCAAATCTTTAGATAGTGTTTAATTTTAAAAAATTGGTGGATTATTCCAAAAGCTACATGATCTGTTAGTTCTTTATTAATATCCTGATTAAGATAAAATATGTCGAATGAAAAAGGGATTATTAAAAAGTATTATTTCTCATAAAAAAATTATGTTGATCCATACACTTTTCAATAAGTTATATCATTATAAAGTTAAAAATGTAAAAAATAAAATCAAGAATTTTCATACAAAAATAGCATTCGGTAGCCATTCTCACCACGAAAACAAGTCCAGAAGTCAAATTTCCATAATAAAGTGCATTACATTAGCTTTAATTTAAGATATATATGAAAGTGTCAGACCTTCCGGAACACTTTCATAAGTTAAATTGAAAAAGTTGTCATTTTAAATCTATTCTATATAATCTATTCTATTTTATATCTATCACCCCACACAGGGGGGTGTGTGGGCAGCTTTAGGGTCAGATTTATAAAAAATATATACCAAATTATAGGTAATAACATTATGCATCTATTAAAATAAAAATTATATTAATTTTGAAAAAGTTATGGCAATTTTAAGTAAAAAAAATTGAAAAAATTGAAAAAATTAGCGATTTTTAAATTTGTAATTTTTTTTTGAGGTTTCTCCCATTTACGGGGAATGAGGAAAATTTTTTCAATTTTTGAGGGTAATGTCTTCGATTAGATACGATTTATGATATTTTGACGTATCTTTGAAAGAAATCGGTCCGGTGAGAGCTGAGAAAAAGTGGTAACAGACAAAAAAAAAACACTTCATAGTAAAACCAATACCTTCTTAGCTTCGTATCGAAGCTAAAAAGCATAAAAAATATGGTGCAAGTAGCATTAATAATTGCAGTTAAGAAAAATTTTGTTTTTTCAAGTCCAGTTATAAACGAAAATGTTGCTATTCTATTTACACTAATTATGCTCGATATTTCCTTAACCCTTTCGTTATGAACTTATATAAGTAATACACATTTTTTTTTTTTAATTGTAGTATTGTCGTTGAATAAACGTATTACACATAATACTCAATAAAATAATTAATAGTGCTCAATAAAATGCATAAAAATATTATTTTATACCTACAGTAACTATTATTATGCCTTTGCTTAGTTATATTTACTTAATATTATAAATTATATCCAGTATATAATTATTAAATTTTATTTTATTAAGTAATAAAATATTTTATAAACATATTTACTTTTTGACGATAATCAAAATAGATCTCTTTTTTCTTTCTTTTTCTTTTTAATTTATTAATTAAATTAGAAAATTTTGGATTTAAAAAATTGATTAACGTTAAAATAGATTGATTTGTTATCTATAACAGGACCGGTGTTGCGGTGAACGAGGTGAGTCACAGTACAAACTTAGTTAATGTCCAAAATATTTCTTTTTTTACAAAAAATAATTAAAAATCCTGCAAATTTTTTTAACAATGCTCGCAATTTATAGCATTAGCACTAGTCTCAAAATTGAATTTAACGTTATTTAACTGTTAAATGTTTTAACAATTTTATGTTAAACGTTTCTTTGAAATAAACACTATGATACTTTTTACGTTTTATATTTATAAGAGATTTTAGAAAATATATCATTATAATAAGCAGTTTGAAAAAATTTATATGTTCAGTGTGACGGGTTGGTAATGCCGTAGTGCCTCATGTGCAATCTTACGGGCTCGAGGTTTGGTGAGTAAGAGATCAGCTCAGAAATTAAAGTCGCCATTTCTCTCTCCGATAGCGGACTAAACACTCGACTTCGGAGTATGTAAGATTAAGAAATCTCCTCTTTAGGGAGGTTACAGAAAAAACATTTCATCGGCTGTAAAAACGCTAAAAAAATAGTGACGAATTGAGTATTTATGTCCGTTAAATTATGATTTTATTAAGAACTATAATATCTTTCTGAACCCTAGTAAGAAAATTCGTTTATCATAATTTTGGACCGCACAAAATGATCTGATAATACAATACGACATATGATCAAATAACGAAATTAAAGAACTGACAGGAGAAGAATATGTGAGGCAGATACTAACGAGAAGAAAAATGAGATAGCTAGGTCACATATGAACATCTTATGACATAATAAAAGACGTACTTAATTGAAAGTCAGAAAGTAAGAGGCCTTTGGGTAAATTAAAGAAAATATGGCTAGAATAACTAATGAAGAGTTTTCGAATGCTGGGGGTTGTTGACCAGAAGAGGTTGTATGTAGTTGGGAATAATGAAAGGGACTATGATTTTTTTAATCATACATTTATATTTATTTATATCATAATTTTCGAACATCTTATATCCTCCCCATAAATACATGTAAATACATCGTACACATTGAAACATAAGAAAAAACGGTTCAAGTTATTATGCAGAATGATATCATTTTTGTAAAAGCTTTCAATATATAAACATTATTCAAGCTACAAATTAAGAAATAATAAATCGTATATTTTGTGTTTAAAACTTTAAATGTGCGTCAAAGACAATAACCTACGTGTTAAATACATTGATATTATCATAAGATTTTATTTGTTTTATATTATGTTGAAAAAACATGATACAAGAGTGTATTTTTTTTCTAAAAGTCTAAAACACTATATGTTTTTAATTAAACTAAAAATTCATTATTAAGTCACTTATATGTCCCATATAAAATTAACAAAAGGAATGTTAATTGCATTTCAATGATGATATTGACATCTAATAAGTTATTAATATGAAATAAATGTTTGTTCAACATTATTAAATTTTAAAATTAAATTATGCTAATTGGAGTATTATAAATATATAAATAATATAATAAAGTCGTAATGCATTTAATATATTATAAATAAGTCTGCGTCGATATCCGATAATCACAGCCAATTTCAAACCGATACCAATAACTAAAAAATTTTAATAAATAAAATTTTTAAAAATACACTATTTCTCGGCACAATAATGAAACAGAAACTTTAGAATAATTAATTAGATGTATTTTGTTGCCCTTACAGCCCACTATGTTCGTATAGGCATAGGTATATATTTTCAATTGGAGTCCAAATTTTTTTTGATGAAGTGATGAGCAAGAAAAAAGTCTATAGACTAAAAGAAATTTATTCACACACATAAAAATTACTAGCAGAGTAGGTATGTGCAATAGTTTGGGACAAGTATAGATGATATATAACAGTGATTAAAATCACTATTAAAAAATGACGTTGTAAGTAAGAAAAAAAACCCAGCACAGGGGGGTCGCGGCACAGTGGTGACGTGGCATAGTTGGATCAAGTAAATGATATCTGACAGTGATTAAAATCACTATCAAAAATAAACGCTTCGATGCAAATCTTTAGATAGTGTTTAATTTTAAAAAAATTGGTGTTTTATTCCAAAAGCTACTTGATCTGCTGGTTCCTTATTAATATCTCGATAAAGATAAAGTATGGTAAATGAAACAGGGTTTATTAAAAAATATTATTTGTCATAAAAAAATTGTGTAGATCCATAAACTTTTCAATAAGTTATAGCATTATAAAGTTAAATATAATATAAATAATAAAATCGAGAATTTTCACACGAAAAAAGCATTCGGTAGCCATTTTCGCCGTGAAGACAAGTCCAGAGGTCAAATTTTTTTTTTTCAAATTAAAGTATATTACATTAGCTTTAATTTAAGATATATATAAAAGTGTCAGACCTTCCGGAACATTTTCAAAAGTTAAGTTGAAAAAGTTAATTTTTTGTGAAAAAGTTGTCATTTTAAATCCCCCCCTGTGGGCAGGTTAAGTGTCAGATTTACAAAAAAAATATACCAAATGATAGGTAAAGACATCAAGCATCTATATAAAAAAAAATTATATTGATATGTTCATTTTTGAAAAAGTTACGGCAGTTTTTAGTAAAAAAAATTGCGAAAATTAGCGATTTTTAAATTTGTAATTTTTTTGGAGGTTTCCCCCATTTACGGGGAACGAGGGAAATTTTTTCAATTTTGAAGGGTAATGTCTTGGACTAGATACGATTTGTGATCTTTTGACGTATCGTTGAAAGAAATCCGTTCGGTGAGAGCTGAGAAAAAGTGGTAACAGACACAAAAAAAAAAAAACACATCTTAGTAAAACCAATACCTTCTCAGCTTCGCATCGAAGTTAAAAAATGCTTCGATGCGAATCTGTAGAAAATTCAGATAATTATTTGCAATTGTACAAAAATTGTATTTTTTCATTTCTGTATTTTCTGTTAAAATTGAACTTTTTTATTAAAATTTATAGATAAATATTTGAATTTTTTATGAACAAATACAAACGGAGAAAAAATTTGAATGCACGATGACGTGTAATGTTGTTTCCTCAATCACACACCGCTCTTCTAATATAAACAAAATGTTCAAAATTAGAATTTTAAGCTTATTGTGGCATATGGTTTTGTATGTCGAAAAGACATTTAAAGATTTCAAATTTTACGAAATGTATTTTTTCACATAATTTCTCGACAGCTGTCTCAATAAAATTAATAATTAATTTTATTGATACAATTATTATACGTGCAAAAATAAAAAAAGGATAGCCTAAAATTAAACATTTCTCTTTGATTTATGAAGAATAAATTATAAAAATGTTGAATTCGTATAATGATTATTATAACATTTAAAAATTTCACTGCCAGAAATTGACAACTTCAGTATGATTAATGGATTGAAAATTTAAAGCATTAATAATACAGTTTTGATAACATACTAGTGTACCATGTAATATCTTATCAGTACTTGTACTGTGTGTATTTATTTATGTATATGTTAATGCATTTATTGTAATTGTAGGTTTGTGAATTTATTGAATGCATAATATTTAATTACACTATTAAAACTTCTATTGTGGGTACAATAAAAGTTTTCAAATTATTTTTAGCGGTCTATTTGTGTATTTTTTTGTTTTTATTAAATCACGTGTAATAATAAAAATTAATTATATTAGGATTTAAAATGCTTTTTTTAGTTAGTGAATAATATAGAAATAAAAATACATTTGTAATAGAAGGTGTGAATCCCAATTAAATTTTTCTAACTATAAATTATATTTTTATAATAATTTGTTAAAAATGTAGAATTTTTTTTATATTTTATTGAAAATTAATTTTATATGCTAATAGTGGTGCATTTACAGACTCCTGTAAATCCATCATTTTCTTCCTTGGCATTCCCTTGTATAAGGGTGTTTATTTTGATAAAATCGTACATTACGCTTCAGCACAACTTAATTAAACATTTGAAATTACAATTATTGTAATCCTCAATTTTTTTTATTTAAAATACTTTCGTTCCAAAGATTCATGAATTATAACGTTATGAATTTGAATAAATGACATTTTGTTATTATTGGTGTCAGTAATAAAATTTTAGTACCAGGAATTCATAAAGACCAATAAGTCAAAACCAGGTGTCTTGAGAACGTTACCAACGATTTTCAAACGGCTACCGAGATTATTCAAATGATGTTATTTTTCAAGGATTCTCATGAGTTCATGGTAGCGAAATGTTAACTTATATTTAAAATACCTTGTCACCAAGTTTCATTTAAAAAATCAAAAGGTCTATAGAAAATAAAACGTTTTGGTTTTTATTCTGGAAAAAGTTGTACATTTTTTTATAAGATTAAAAATATTTTCTGTTGCTATTTATTGAAATTTCCAAATATGTGCTTGTGTTACGTGTTTTAATAGGAAACAATCAACTCAGTTTGTTCTTTGTAAAATTTCAAAAAGCTGAAAATCATTATTACACAATAAAACGATTGCTATTCATATTTTTAAAGTTTTCTAAAACGATTTTTTGATGATTGTCACTCTTTTTCAGTTTTTTTGAAAGTTTTGCTAATGGTCTCTTGTGAGTTTTGATTTAAGCTTATCCTTTTATTTTCTCATCAGAGCTCCAATCGTAATCTCCCTTCCTCAATACATAATTGATATAACGATTATGACATACTATGTCATGTTTTTTTATTAATAATTTTTTCTTTTTTAATACCGTTAAATGAGTTTATATAATTTAATTTACGAAATATACATTTTTTATATCAGCTTAGCCCAAGTTATCATTAAAAATGGCAAAATTGGACTCTTGTTTAAATAAATATTTTGATCTTTAAATTCATTATTATTAAATAGAAAATCACATGTCTTGTGTATGATATACTACTTTATTATTCAAGTAGTTTTTAAACTATATAAAAGTTAATAAAAATCACATTACTTAATATTATATAGAATGACTCATTTATCATGGTCCGTTTAATTAAAAATAGAAATAATATTAATAATTTTCTTATTAGTTTCTTTTAGTTTAATGTTTCTTAATTAATCAATCACGAAGTCTTTATGTTCATCCCTTTTATCTTACAATTACCTATAACAACTTTAATTTTTCAAATGACAACACATTTAACTGACTTTAATAGAACTGATCTAATTAAGTAAACAACTGATCAATAACTACTATAGTATTTCGGAAGTAATTAACAATTTAATGTTAATGATTGGAGATGAAGAGTGGATACTGCTATTTTTAAAACTAAATATTTGCCTACCGAACTCCTAACCAACCACCTATCTAGATATAAACATGTTAATAACTTTCGAAATGCTGATCGAAAAGTTATTATTGACCAGTTATGTTTTTAATTAATCTCTTATCTACTAAATAAACTAGTTAACAATAAATGTTTCCACTTGAAAAAATCAAAATAACTTTAATAATGTACAAGGGATGAAAATAAAAAATAATTCATAATAAATTGAGAAAAACCTAGAACTAAAAGAAACCAATAAAAAAATACTCAATATTATTTTTATTTCAGAATAATTAAGTGGTCATGTTAAATTAATAAATTTCAATGAAAGTTTTTGGTGAAAAGCCCCCAACTAGAACAATTAGGCACTTTTTATAATGAACTAAAATCGTTTCGATTATAAATTGTTTTAATTTGCATTTAAATGAACATCAAACAGATAAGATAAACTACTTTAGAAAAAATAAAATAAATTTAAAAAAAAAAATTGGACCTCTATTATTTTAATAAGTTATTCAATTACATATACCAAAAACATACCATTTAATTTCAGATAGAAAAACTTGCTAAAAATAAACAGTCATTTAAAGATTGTCATTGTCTTTTACAATGGTATCATATAAATTTATTTATTTTTGGTTAAAATTTCAACTTAAAAATATCAAACATATTGATAATTATATTGGTTGATTTAGAATATTAAATATATTTTTTTAACTATAATGATTATAATATGTAATGATTTAATAATAGAAAATTTAGATTTATTACTATTTTTTTATATAGGAAAAGTATTTACTTAGTTACTAAGTAGCTACTATAAAAAGTAACACGGTTCAAGTAATGGGAATGATTTGAAAAAAAAATAGATATATTAATTCAACTATATGAAATAGTTATCTAAGCATAATGTATTTTTCAATTGTCATAATGACAGAATGAATGACATAATAATACACATAATGTATTTTCATTAACTATTTAATAGACCGTTATTATGTTTAAAAATTAATTTTAATATCAAGAATAATTTAACATTATATATATAAGTTAAAAAAGAGGTTAACATTTGATTATTAAACAGTTTGATCATACTTAACTAAGTATAAACATATCAATGTCAAAAAATTAATAATTTAAATAAAATTGTAAGATAAAATTTTTTTAATCTTTGACTGCATGTATAGTAATTGGTAAATATGTTTTAGTTGTTTTTCCAGTATTGGAACAAATATTGACCATTCGTTCATCACATATTTTACTTTTAACATGTTGCGAGTATTTTTCATGTAAATGTGTTGGCAAAACATTATACATATTATCCACAGCTCTAATAGCACCTAAAAACAAAAATTATATTAATTTTAGGCTGCATTTATTTTTTCATAAGATTTGTATTAAAAAAAAACATTAATTTTCTATTGTCATAAGCTATAGCTGATATAATAAATATACAGAAATGTTCAAAATAATTACTTAGGAGAGAAGCAAAATTTGGAAATGTATAAGTCTTGATATTAGTTTCTATTTTTATTACTCTGAATCCAGCATTTATAACAAGAGCTTCTATTTCTTCTTTTGAAAGAAATGATATAGACATTGGTTTGATATCCTTAAAATTCATAAATAAAAATTAAATTAATATCACATTATTTTAATGCAGTTGTTGATTTAAGTAATAGAAAAGTAAAAAGAATGTTTTTAAAAATTATTAACTAATACTGATATAACAAAACAAATTATTTTTGTCTGTAAACACATGATAAACTACCCAAAATTATTATTTAAATTAAAATTATTTATATACATAAAAAAAAATAACTATAAATAATAATTATATCCCATAAATTTATCTAACAATATAAATTTTAGTGAAAATAATGAATGTAAATGATGATAAACAGTACATACTAGGTATTCTTTGGATATAAGATTTATTGAAGGATAAAATTATTTTTTCAGCATATGACTAATTTTAATCAATATCTTGAATTATATTATCAATCAAAGTTTAGTTTTATTTTAAACATACTAAGTATGCCAGTTATTTAACAAAAATTGGCTTGGAAATATAGAGAATAATTTTGTGAATTCCAGAATTCAGAAATCTCCCCAGGGAGATAATAAGAATAGTTACCCAGATCATAATTATTTATATGGTAAAAATACAATATTTTTTTAGTTAGGGGGAATAGTAAAAAATATTTGTTGGATACTGTCTGTTATGGTATTCTTACAGGTATTTTATAAAATTAAAAAATGTATATAAATAATTTATTATTTATACTACTTGGACATCAAATTTTGATTGAATATGAATGTATCATAAGCATATTTTATACGCATAATTCTAACTTCTGTTAGTATCAAAAATTATTTTAAGTGATTTACTACAAAAATTGTGCAGAAATATTTTGATGCATGCATAATTTAATTGTTATTATATGATTATTAAAAATAAGTTATATCATGATTACATGATAGATATATTATTAAATTTTTTCAAAAATATATTATTAAGAGCAACTACATAAATCCATACACTAAGAAGTAATTAACACAATTATTCAACTTACTTTAGCATATTTTTGCCATTCAACATCTAGTGCTTTGTACAAGTGAACCATAGGATTTATTAATAGAAATAAAATCAATACTTCTCCTCCTGGCTTTAACATCGTATAAAAATTTTCCATAGCTTTTTCTTTATTATACACCCAATGGAAACAATAAAAAGAAAAAATTTTATCATAATATTGTGAATATGATGAACAATCAATAGAATCTTCAATGTCCATAATTTTGAATTTTATTTCATCTCTATTGTATGTTGATTTAGCATAGTTTATCATTATACTTGATTTATCAACAGCAACCTGAAATGTAAAAATAATATGTATAGTGAATAATTTTAAATAGGCAATGAATTAATAGTTAATTTACAACAAACCAATTTCTCAATTTTATCCTGCAAAATAGGGTAAAGTATTTCATAAGTTACATCACCAGGACCACATCCTACATCTAAAACAATTTCTTTTGGTTTCCAAAACATTTTTGATAAAAAATTTGTTAAAACATCAGCAGCATCTCTACGCTGCATAGAATTTTCATTATTATACAGTTCTGGATGTTCCATTTTATACAACTAAAAAAACTAGTAGGTACTGTATTTCTTTATATACTTTTCTTAAAGGCATTTATTTATATATAATGGCTTCTTTCAAAGAATTCTATGGAAAACCTTATGAAGTACCTAATTTCCATAACAAACCCATTTTTGTCACACAAATGAATACTAAATCAGTATCATCAAAAATATATCCACATGTGAACCTTTCATTTTAATCTGATTGAAATAATTTTTAAAAAAGGTATTTCATAAATACTGTGTTAATCTAGATAGAATATTATGTAAATTAGTTAGGATATGGGATTCATACAATCATAATATCATGTAATTTATTTACTATGCCTATAAGTATTTTTAAATTTATTTTCTTTTGTGATCATTAGATGCCTATCCATTTAGATACCTATGAATGAATAAGTTAATAAAAGAATAAATAAAATAGTTTACAGACTGAATGGTTACTGGCAAAAAATAAGATTTGTCTTATAACTTACTTTAAATAAAACTCTGAACATATAAAAATAGAAAAAAATTCCTTTACTTTTATAGTTATATTGAGAAACTATATGATAAAATTTAATTTTAAAATGAATAAGAACATGAATTAATCAGAACCTAATTAAAATCTAAATGAGCCTAGTGGATTTCTTATAAGATAGATCCTTCTTTCTCAACGGTAGGCTAACCATAATAATCACAATAAAAAAAAAATTACAGAAGGATATGATATATTTCCTTTATTGTATAAAATATGTTCATTAAATAATAAATAGTTATTTCTACATTTTTGGAGGAGCTAAATATATAATATTTATAAATTCGGTAGCTAGTCCTCTTTTATTAATGATAGTGGATATCTCCATCTTATACTAATAAAGTAATTAATTTATTTTATCTTTGTAAAACAAAGTTTTACTATAAAACAAAGTTTTACTATAAAACAAAAATATTATAATTGGCTAATATTTTTGTGATCTTTCAACTACTTAATTTTCTTTGTTTTATGTAAAATATTTTTATATAAAAACTTTTAAATTATTAATAATTAACATTAAAAAACATATTAGCAAGCATTTTATACCAGTTATTATTCATGATAAATAAATAAATAAGAATGAAATAGTAAATTATACTTCAAATAGTATCATTCATTTATAAGATTCAAGCTGATTGAAAAAATTTTTAAATAAATTTCACATTAAAAAAATTTATATATTATGTTTATCTATTATCCTAAAATATCATAATAACTGAAAATACTTTTTACAATTTAATATTTTATATTACTTATTTAAAAATAATTGTTTGGATAAATACGATTGTAGAATAAATATAACTGATTATGTTAGTACAAAATACAGATATTTTTCTATTTATATTAAAACATAATTATTTATTATTCTGTATTATTTATCTTGGTTTAATTTGTTGATTTTCTATTTATAAATGAATTTATTTTATTTCATTTAACTCAGTGGTCAAAAACATATCATTAAAAGTAATTTAAGATTAAGAATCAATATTTTTTAAAACACTGTTTAATATAGAAGTATGAATCACAACACAACTAGAATATACTATCAAGTATTAATTTTGATATTATATCATGTAATAATTGAAAGAATATATTTGATTTCCTCATTGGTAGTGACAAAAGTTATACCATTTTCAATATTATTCAATTACAACTATTGTTAATCATAGGAAATCGAAAATTAAAAATTCAATATTCAGTTGTATATCATGTTGAGTATAATAATCCTTAAGTATAATTTAACCAAAAATTTCAAATATGTTATTATAAAAAGACTGGAATAAATAATAGTTCAAACAAATAAACTTTTTCCTTGCATGTAAATTGTTGATTCAAGTTTTTTTTTTATATAAATGACCAAAAAATCTTAAGTTTTTCTATTTCAATACATAAATTGGGTTTATATACATCTAATACATATCTAACTCTGACACTCTATCTAATACATTAGATTGATTTGAAGACTTCTAAATAAGTTATCCTTTGTTTGAGATTGATGGCCTGTCATTAAAAGTATATTGTAAATTTTGAGAAAAAAAGAAGCTTAAAATAGAATTAGAACTCACATTCTTACTAGTCACTAATTAAAATCACTGATATACAAATCCAAGAAAATAAACCCACTGGTTATTCTATAAAACAATTAATTAGACATAATAAAAATTTTAATTGATGAGAAATTGTAAAAAATGTCAGAATTGCAATGAGTTCATAATATTCATCTAATAAACAATAGAGACCATCAATGAGCAATATTTAATAAATTATTGTTATGATAATCAGTTATATACACAAATTTTTATACATACATGTTTTAATAGAATTACATAACTAAAATATTATATTTTGATTGAACAGACTTATTCATAGGTAGTGACGAATATAAATTCAATATAATTCATAAAATAAATCATATATCTTTTGAATAATCATTTAAGTCAGAAAATATAAATTACTTAAAATTAATTCGGTTAGAATATAGCAAATTTTCATTTCTAACTAAAAGTAATACTGATTTTAAACAACTTCTTAACTGTAGCTTAATTAGAATATTGTATTAGGGTAGATATAGATTAAAAAAAACGGTAGCACAGTGGGGTCGAGGCACAGTATAGACATGGCATAGATGAGATAAGTATAGATGATATCTGACAGTGATTAAAATCACTATCATAAGAAACGCTTCGATGCAAATCTGTAGATAGTGTTTCATTTAGAGAAATTGGTGGATTATTCCAAAAGGAACATCAACTCTTATTTCTTTAATTATATCCTGATTAGCAGTTCTTTGATTTTAAAATATAATATATGAATAAATACTAACTAATTATAAAAACTAATTATAGTTTTTAAATTCAGTATGAAATTGTGAGGCCAGCTATGATCTATAAAAAGCAACCGTAATATGAAAAAAATGGAATATAAATTTTAGTACTCACATTAAATGTAATGTAACTCGAAAAATGTTTGTTTAAATGAAAAAATATAAGATAATTTTTTTGTTTATAATTGTCTTTTAAACAACTTTTGTACGAAACTTTTTTTTGTAAGTTAAATATTTTTTGAGAAAATTAAAAAAGCTCATATTTTTGAACTTTTGCGAGGCTGTAAAAAAAAGCTCAATTTCAATCAATGAAGACTATTAGTATGTCATTATACATATTTTAATTCAACTATTAATAAAACAAAATTTGGTTGGGAATTTTTTAAGAAATTTTTCCTTTGTTGACTGGCCTAGATGTCAATTTTAAATTTGTAATTGAGCTAAAAGTTATGGTAATATATTCAATTTTTTTTGCTATAAACTTTCATAAATCTTTATCAAAAATTGTTCATAAATTTTAAAGAACCAAAAAAATAGGTTAAAAATGAAAATTTGGATTGATCATTTTTAACATATTAAAAATCAAATCAGTAATAAATTGAAAACAATTCTTTTTTTCTTTTAATTATTTTTATATGTAATTAGTAATAATATAAAAAAAATAAAGAACTGATAGATAAAGTCTAATTGCAGATTTGAAAACAACGCGAAACTTTGATTTAAAAAAGTATATTTTTGTTTCTGATGAAAGTTCCTTGAAGTACAGTGCATTCATTTATAGTAACAAACAGTTTTTATTGAAAATTATTGTATTAAGCCCTTTAAATTTTTATACACGTAAAAATAAAGCAAAATACAACTTCTTTATTATTTTTATAATTTCTCCGTTT